CACACGACACTGTGCCGTGTACCAGTGGCCGTGTACTGTGTAGCCGTCGCGCTCGATGGGTCGATGTGGCTTATATTGCTTGTTCGCAAAGTGCAAACTCCAAACGGCAAACTCAAAGCATGACCGTGTATCATCGACGATAACACCACGACCGTGACGCAGCTGCCGCCAGCTTGTGAACCCAGCGATCACGTACAATAGATACGAGTAGTAGATTCAGCGACGTGATTGCGAAGCGGCGGCGGTGCGTAGGCGGTGCTTCAAGGATCGGTGTTCTTGAAGGCCGCGTGGCAGGCTTCTTCAAACTTTCATCGCCTCTTGGTTGCGTGCGGCAAATTTTGTCCAAGCGTCCAACTCGCACGGCAAGGACTCGTAGTATTGTACAGGTGGCGAATCATGGAAACATCCAGTGACGAATAGTATATGCATCGTGCATGTTGATGAAAGACAGTGGGTCTCCTTAGACCATGGCCAGCATAGTGACGGCACACAGTAGCGTGATGCTCGACGCCAACTGCATCGGGCTCGAGCTCACTCTCGTCGGCGTCGGCGTTGCATTCGATGTGCTTGCCACGGTCGGCGTCACGGTCGTCGTCGCGGCAATGGTTGTCGGTGCGTCCGTCGTCGCATTGGCATCGGTGGCGTTGGCAGTGGGTGACACCGTGACGACCGCGGTTGCGTTGGTCGCTGCATTGGAACTGCTCGACGACGACGACGACGACGACAAGAGCAGCGTCACAAACTCGGTGGTCGAGAGGTTCGATACGTCGGCCGTCGTCACGACACTTGGCGACGTCTGAAGCGCGCAGAGAGGCGAAATCGCAGCAATGGCGTCCGCGACGCTGCTCGCAAAGGACATGCAGTTGGTGTCGTCGAGGAAGGCAGCCAGCTGCGTCGACGGGATCGCCGACGAGCTAGCAAGACTCGCAATCGAAAGCCCCGTGGTCGTCGAGCATTGCGTGAGCGCGGTCGCCGCCGAGAAGAGCACGGGTGCGACGGCCGTCTGGAGGACGCTGGACGAGCACGCAGTCGTCGCCTCGGTGGTCGCCATTGCCGAAGCAATCGCAGTCATCGCAATGAGAAGCGGAGCCAAGCCGTGCATGTTGGTGGTGTCTTGGATGGTGCTGGAACGCGGGGAATGCGGGAATGAACACTGCTGTCGTTGTGGTTGAATCGAGAAGCTCTCCCTGTCTGGGTCGCAAATGCTTGCAATGGTTGAGGAAACAAATAGGCGAGTATACAACCGCCAAATGACAACTGGAATCCATGCAACGCTCGACACCATAATATGAATATATATTTGTGTCCCAGAGCAATATATTTGTCTGTTGGCCACGTCATCATCGGCCAACGACAAACTCAATATTCCTACCATAGCCGTGTACCAGAGAGGCTTTCGCAACAACCGGACGCTTTTTCTGCTAGGTCCTTTGGCCTTTCGACAGCGACATCCGATCCACAAAGCTGCACGCTGAGCGCCACGACTCCCTCGGCGAAAAGTATTTTCAAATGAATCAATTGAGTTTCATTTGACGCAGAGCATGCCGACATGTGGCGCACCAACTCGCGTCTACGTAAATACGTATCGTCCGATGAGCTAGCCTCAAGACGTTTCTGTGCCGCAGCACAGCCGTATTGACGCGCTGAAATGGGGTGCCGGACATCGACAGTTTCGCTGCACGCAGCAACTGCCACGTCATCCTGTCCATGGCAGTGCCACGTCATGGGCCAAATATAATGGCCGCCGCCGTGGCTAGCGACACGCAGGCGCAACACGAAGTCAGGGCCACAAATGCAGTTGGTGGACGTGCTCTTGCAGCGTATTGTGCCACGTCACATGGTTACAATTGATAATTTCTCATGTCAACGCACAAAATGACATTATATCAAGGTTTCCATTCGTCCTAGGCAGCCATGGCCACTTGTACTTGATCACAAATGGCCGTGAGCTCTGTGCACGCGGCACCAATCGTCGCCAACAGCGGCGCAAGGGGTTTCTTCTTGAGCGCTTGCAGAAGCCGGAGCACGCCCACGACCTCTGCGAGCACGGCATCCTGTGGTGCCCCTGCCGCGACCTCGAGATGGCTCTGGATCGTGTTGAACACCAAGCACCTAGCAAACAACAAGCTCAG